CCCAATTACTCCAGAGAGCCGTTAAGAGTCAACCACATTGCTCTGCGTCTGCAGTCACATGTAAGCCAGACCAGGTAAGGACAGCAGAATTCCTTCCCTAAAGGGAACATTAGTGAATCAGATGGGGTTTTGTCCTCCAACAACCTGTAACAGTTTTATAGTCAACATTAGACTATCAATTCTAGGTGTTTGTTGAATTCAAATTCCACCATTTGCCATAGTGGCTTTTAAACCCAGATCCCTAGAACATTACCAATGTCTCTCAATGAATAGACTAGCAATAACACCACTAGGCCGTTGCCTTCCCTCCTAGATTCTGCAGAGATTACAGAAAACTAAATGCTGTGATGAAAACAGATTTGTAGCCAAACCCTCAATTAGATGATTATATCAGGAGGATTCATGTGCGTCACTGCTCACCAAGATTGATTTGTTGAAGGGGTACTGCCTGGTACTATTGACATAGAGAACTAAAGAGATATCAAACTTTGTTATAACAAAGTTATATAAATATTGAGTTGTGCCATTCAGGTTTAACAATGCTCCAAGACAACAAGGTGCAGGGCTGGATGAACACAGCAGGCCAAGCGGCATCATAGGAGCAGATGCTCCAGCTATATTCCAAACACGAATGAACTGATTTGTAACTAGTGTATATAATTGTGTACTTGGATGATGTACAATAAATAGGAATGTCTGGGAAGAACATACTAAACAACTGGAGGGCTTATTTAAATAGTCTCAGCTAGCTGACGTGGTAATAAAATTTTCCAAGAGTGATTCATGAAATTAAGAGTAACTTAACTAGGACCCACTGTAGGACTAGGGCTAGTGTTGCCAAGAACAACAAAAGAGATTGCTAGAGTTTCCTGTTCCTAAGCTAAACAGGAAACCATGTAGATTTTTGGAGATCTGTGTCTTTCAAAGATTCATACTTAACTTCAGCACTGCAACTGTACCTTTAACAGATTTGTTATGAAAACAGGCACAGACAATATATTTGAAGAGAGTTCAAAACAGTGTTTGAAAAGTTGAAGCCAATCCTGATGAATGAATCAGTGCTAGTTACCTCGGTCTTCACTAACCCTTTAACAAAGCGAATTGATGTGGCGACTTTGGAGTGGATTTGTTTCCACTACAAGGTGATGAATTAGATGTGGAGGAGCCAGTAGGGCACATATCCAAGAAGCTGAATCACTATCAAAAGGAATACTCTCCAGTGGGAAATAAAACTCTGGTATTTTACTTGCTCTTGAATATTTTGAAGTTTATAACTGTCAAAGCCACAAAAAGATACTAATTTACAATTACTACAATCCTTTGGGCTTTGTACAGAAATCTAAGACTCAAAATGCTAGACTATATCATCATTGTTAAGTCAACTTCATAATATTCATATCAACGGAATAGATAACATCATATCAGATGCACCATCAAGAATGAAATGATGCTGGAATAGTTTGGAGATTTTAAAAAGGTAACAAGAAGTTGGATAAATCCTGTATAGAGAATGAATGAGGGTGAATCCTTTTTAAAACTTTGTTGCGGTACGTGTCATATTTACATTGTAATGAAACCCATCCAGAAATAGTGTTTCATTTCGAGGGTAAAGCCATGTTAGAAGCAAATATGTGTATGGATTTTGTGAATTGGGAAATGGAAGCTTTGGACCAGAGTTTGCAGAGAAATTGTGGCTTCTTAGGATTCAAGAATCAAAAGGTAAAAAAAAACTAGGGATGGTCTACTGTTTATATAAAAAAACGTGATTTTGGGACAATAAGCCTTTAAAAGAGAGATACAAGATTGCTTTATAACCTATAATTGAGAGACAGACAAACTGGGTTTTTGAGGCAGGTCTTTGCTGAAGGGTGCCTAGCAACATCCTCTGAACTGAGTTTGTTGTGTCTGCCAGTAAACTGTATTTCGTCAGTTGGGAAAAGACCTCCAAGCCAGAAATGGTAAAATCTGTCTTTTCTGAAAGTGGAAGTTGGTAGAAAGCTGGAAGAAATCAAGCCCCACTACTCCATGATCTCTCCAAATCTTTCTCTCTGACAGGAAGAGAGAAATTCCTTAAAACAAAAGTAGTTAAAAAGCTAGTTTGAAAAAAAAGATAAACTTTCAGACATCAGGACTTCAAACTGTCTCGCAGCTGAATGTGAACTCCAGACTGATGATCTTCCATCACTTTGATCTTGTCAACAGGAAAATGAAAGAACTGTGAGAAATCAGCACACTCTGTCCTTTTAGTTTGGATTCTAGGCCAACAGGGTGGTTTTCTTTTACAAGATCATAATATGCTTCAGACCTTTGCCATCTTGTCCTCTCTGTATTTTCATGAGTAGTGTGTTGGGAATAAGGAGAATATGGTTTAAGTCTACGTACTACACAGTTTGCCACTTACTTAAAGGATAAGTTTGTTCTTAATTAGCAAGTAGTTCTTGAGTTTATTGAAGAAACCTGGTTCAAAATTGCTTTTGCTCTAGATGGCAGTAATAAAGAGAAACAAACGAAATATTGTAGTGATAAAAGTAAAACACTTATATGAGCGGCATGATGGCTCAGCAGTTAGCACTGTTGCCTCAGTACCAGGGACCTCGATTCCACACTCAGGCGACTGTATGGAGTTTGCACATTCTCCCTGTGTCTGCGTGGGGTTCTTCCAGGTGCTCTGGTTTCCTCTCACAAGGATGTGCAGGCTAGGTGGATTAGGCATGGGAAATGCAGGGTTGCAGAGATGGGTTGGGTCTGGGTGGGATGCTCTTCGGAGGATTGGTATGGACTTGATGGGACGAATGGCCTGCTTCAACACTCTAGGGATTCTACATCTTTGGTGGGGCTCGATTTCCAATGCACTTGTCCCATCAGATTCCTAACTGCCAATTCAGCACAGACCCCAAACTGCAGACAAGAACAAATTCAGCATAAGGCTGTTTGGAAGAAACCATTGAATAAATATGTTTGGCAAATGGCTGTAGCCAGAGAATAATTGAGGAATGATGTTTAGCACAAGCTCATGACTGGAAATGAAAGGTTAAAGGAGATATATTAGTGAGAGACAAGTGGAGATAAACAACAGGAAATGTACAAGTTAGGCTTACTGGTACATCTGAGAAACCTCTTTGAATTTGAAGAGCTTTAAAAGTAACCAAGCTCGAGGAACATCAGCTGCTATTTCAGCTTCCTAGAAGAACACACTTGGACTAATAAGTGATCAAGGATTCGCTGATATTAATTTCACTGCTGTTTGCCGAGAAATCACTTAACAAGATAGAATATACATGTTTTCATCAAACTGGCACTGATATTTCATAACAAAACTTTAAACCATTCAACCAGTTTTATAATCACAAATTAGATGTTATTACTCCTTGATAATGTTTATAATTATCATGTAATCAATATTGATGTCATGTACTACTAAGCAGGAGTCTTCTGCAAAGGGATGTGAATTATCTTCACCTTCCATCATTCTCAATCCAGTTTTCCTAATCTGACTGTTCATTTTGGAAACGCAAAGCGTGACTTCATGCGCTTACTCACAGATGGTCTAAGTGTTAATTGGATTATTAGTTCAAGCACAAAATGAAATATCAATATGTATAGTTTCCAGTTCATACTTCCTGGATTCCCCCAATCTGAAACACAAGCATGGGAAATTCATCCTGTGTTGAAGATAACCACAGTTTCATATGGTCAACAATAAATATCAAAATAAATGAAAAAGCATAAATAAATTTAAGGGCAACATGTATTTTATAAATTGCAAAATAGGAATGAACTTCTGCAGCACCATACCACATCATAAGGAATGTTGAAATAAATGTAATGCAGCAATTAATGAGAAAGTCTGGTTAATTACAGAACTCATCACAGCAATGACTTTACATGAATATCAAAGGCATCATAGATTTAATCTCCCAAGGGCGATTATCTGAAATTTAAAAGTTTCAGCCTAGTTAGCAATGTTCCTGTTAATGAACTTGTGTCCTGTATTACATTCAGGTTTGCCTGTTAATTTATTGCAGCATTTTTTTCCTGAATTTATAGCCTTCATTCACCATCAAAACTCTACAAATGCAGTACAGCAAAACAAAAACCCAAAAGAACTGTGGATGCTGGAAATCAGAAACAAAAACAGAAAAACTCAGCAGGTCTGGCAGCATCTGTGGATAGAAATCAGAGTTAAGGTTTCGGGTCCAGAGATCCTTCTTCAGACTAGCAAAAAGAAAGGAGGGCTTGCACTAATACTGCATTTGTCACAACCACCAGTTGGCTAAAGGCATTTTAGAGCCAGTGAAGTGTAATGTAGGAAATGTGTTGCCAAATTGTACACATTGAGCTCCACCAAACAGCAACTTGGAAATAACAAGATAGTCTGGTTTGTTTTTGGTTGAGGGATAAATATTGGCCTCCTTCAAGTGGTATGGTGGCTCAGTGGTTAGTACTGCTGCCTCACAGCACCAGGGACCCTGGTTCGATTCCACCCTCAGACAATTAACTGCGTGGAGTTTGCATGTTCTCCCTGTGTCTATGTGAGTTTCCTCCAGGTGCTCTGGTTTCCTCCCACAGTCCAAAGGTGCAGGTTAGGCCATGCTAAATTGCCCATACAATCCAGGGATGTGTAGGCTAGATGGATTAGCCATGGGAAATGCAGAGTTACAAGGATTAGGTAGGGTGCTGTTCAGAGGGTTGGTGCAAACTCGATGGGCCAAATGACCTGCTCCCACATTGTAGGGATTCTATGGATCAAAATAATGTCATGCAATCCTTTCCATCTACCCAAGACAGCAGGCAAGTCTGTGGTTTAACATAATAACTAAAGGATAGCAGTTCTAACACAGCACTACTCTACTGGAGGACCAGCTTTGATCTTTGATTCCCAAGTTCTGGTGTGGAACCAGAATCTGGCTCTCTTCCGGCTCAGAGATAACAGTACAACCAACTGAACCACAAGTGATATGGCAGAAAGGGGCCTGCTGTATTGGTGTTGAAAGACTTACCATTTCTCCAACCAAGGTAAGTAAGAGGTACATTCGCAAAGCAAAGTAGTGTACATCCAGCCGAATGTGGCCTGAGGAAACCTCTTCAGCTCAGCATTATTCATAATTCGAAATGCCAACACAGAGTCAGACCAGAACGGGATGGGTTCCATCGGAGTTTCTTTAAAGATCTCCCATCTAGAAAAACATAGAAAGAAAAGATTTCATGATTTGAACAGCAATGTAATATTTTATTTACCCTGATGTTTCTAAAACTGTCTACCAGTCTAAAACCAACTATTTTTGTTACTTGTATAAATATGACGCTACATGTTTCGAGTGAAAATTTGTCTGGTGACACATCCTGGGATATTTTACTAATTTAGACATAAGATATAGATGCAAGTTAGTGCTGTATTCGAAGCAGAGATATTCCAAGCATAAGCGTGCCTTTTAGTATCAAAATTGGTAAAAATTAATAAAAATTTTAAACAGTCAACATTGTCCATTGCCAGCTGGTTCATGAGATTATTGGAAGACTTCTTTAAAAAAAATGCCTGCAACTCACTGAATCAGAGAATGGTTGCAGCACCTAGGTCAGGCCATTTGGCCCACATTTTGTCTGTGCAAGTTCTCAATTCTTCCATAAAATAGAACAGTTTTTCTTTGTCTATTCTTATCTCAGTAACTGAAGTTTCTCCCCCTGGAACCATTCTTGCCTTTATCGATAAAGCCCAGGTTTCTGTACGCTTTATTGATCACTCTTTCAAACTGCCTTGTCATCGTCAATGATTTACACACATTTACATACAGGGGGCCTGCTCTTCAGAACTGTACCCTTTGTTTTATATTGTCTCTCTGCATTTGAATTTTGATAGGGAGAAAGCAAAGTTAACAATGTTCACTGTTTTACAGATCATTAAACTACACTGATGGTGTATGGAAGAAGTAGCACCTCACACAAGCTCACCACACGTGAGAGAGCACGCTGTGTGTGAGAACATGCCTGTGTGTGAGAGCACGTCTGTCTGTGCGCATATGTGAGCAAGTGTGCGTACATGCACAATCATGTGTGTATATATGCATGTGTGTGTGTATATATATGTGTGTGTATATATATATTATATATATGTGTGTGTGTGCGTGTATATATATGTGTGTGTGTATATGTGTGTGTTATATGTGCATATGTGTCTGTGTATGCATGTGTGTGCGCTTGTGCTTGTGCATGGGGGTGTGTGGGTGGTCTAACTAGGTGCAGTTAGCTATTGATTGTGTTACTTAGCATCTACTCTGACAACCAAAGACTGATTCTGGGGAGCTAAGCGGTTGAGACCTATCTGAGGAGTGACAGTCTTGAAGGTGGGTCAGCTCTGTATTGTGAAGCATACAGAACTCAACAAGTCACAGAAGATATGATTCTGATCCTGGTGACCCACTGCATCTGGATCTCTCTCTCTCTCCATCTGGGCTTTATCTCCACCTATCCACTCACTCCTGTTCCCCTCAACCCTGTTATCAACATAAGTAGCATGTTATCCCAGCTTCTTCCAGTTCTGCAAAAGGCTCACTGGATTCAAAATATTATCTCTGCTTTCTCTTCACAGATGCTGTGAGAGTTTCTCCCACATTTCCTGTTTTTGTTTGTACCAGCCATGTAAACTCATTTTGCCCCTGCATTCCAAAATTACTAAATAATCAGGGGGAAAGGGAGCAGAGGAATTAATTACAGCGACTACCACCTAAGTGCCACAGGGATCCATGCTGGGGCTAAAATTACTTACAACTGGTAACAACGGCGAGGACGAGGAAAGTAAAAGACTAGGTCAAAGGTGAGTAACTCATCCCCTGGTTCCCCAGTCCCTGTGTGTACCATCTACAAGGCTCAAGACAGCATCTTCCAAACCCACAACCACTTCCATCGAGAAGGACAAAGGCAGCAGGCATATGGGAACATCACCATATTCAAGTTTCCAAGCCACTCACCATCCTGACTTGGAAATGTATCGCTGTCCCTTCACTGTTACTGGGTCAAAAACCTGGAATCCCTTCCCTAATGGCATTGTGGGTCTACCTACAGCACCTACAGACTGCAGCTCAACACCATCTTCTCGAGGACAAATAGGGATGGGCAATAGATACCGGATCCACATCCTATGATTAAATTTTAATAAAAGGACTGACTCCAAGACAGTAATACATGGCTCTCTTTCTACTCTATTTAAGATGTGCATAGTTGAATAAACAGTGCTAATTACTAAGATCGCTAAACCCCCAGACAATATACTTAGAGGGGAAGCAGTAATGGAGTTGCTACAGCTCATTAAATGCCTGACATACTTGCTAATACACAACATGGCCAGAAGTAGGGTACAATAGTCACCAACATTTCTTGTTTCAGATATAATCGCAGGAAGATCCCACAGGCATGAAGTAAGTCCTACCACCAATGCTGATTGCACATGTCTGCGGAAAGAGGCCATTTTAGGGCTCTGTCCTGCAGCAAAAAGCTTCTGTCTTTGAGACACAGATCCCTGCCAGGACCATAGAGGTGTATGTGATGTAAGAAATCAGAGCTATTTGAAGAGCCTTCCCTGGGTGTAAAAGCCCTGATGACAGAGGATTTCAACTCTCAGCATTCTAGCACCAATTACACACTAATCAGCTTGGGTTTTCACCTACTCCTCTGCTACCCATTGCCTGCTAACATGGGCTGGCACAAGCAGGGCGTGTTTCTTTTTCATTGGTGCTGAGAATGATTCTAAAAGGGCTGCGGAGACTAAGTTTACATTGCAATGGTGTAAGGTAGGGAATTTCAAGAATACAATGTACTTACTATGAAGGAATAGTATTGTAAGCCCATGTCAGGACAGTGTCATCTTATTCCCATGAGTTTTGTTTTATTTGTACGTTTAGAGGATGTGGGAACATCACCGGCTGGGCCAGTTTCATTCTCCAGATCTAGTTGCCCTTGAGAAGAAGGTGGAGATGATCTGCTGCACACTGGTCCATGGCAGTGCAGGGCAATGCTGTTGAATTCATCTTGATAGTTTCAGGATATGCATCCTGTGCCCACTAGTAGTAATGGCAAGTAAAACAGATTGAGCCTGCCCTGTCCTGGATGATGCTGAGCTGTTTGTTAAGTGTTGCCATCACATTCGACCAAGCAAGTGGCAAAGGTTCCATTCTGCATTGCATTCAGCAATAACAGCCAAACATTCAGGTCAATGGCTGGTATTGTTTTTCTCTGCAGCTTCAAACTCTTTCAACACTCCTGTTTAATCTAATGGTGTGACTCACTTGTCTACCAGTGAACTGTCACTGTAGTCATTCTCACCCTGAATCCTTTCTCACATTCACACCATTAATTCACACCATTATTCATTCTTCTGAACAACATTCTGGGATCAATAAAATAATTATATCTCTAATAAAGGCAATGGTAACTTTAGTGGCCCCATTAGTGTGTCAGTCCCTTTTACAACTTATTTGATCTGGGGAACCTGCATGAACACTGCCAAGCTCAGAGCATTTTTTGTGAGATCTTGAGCCAAGCAATGTCCTCCAGGTAGGCCTTCAGAACCCGAGGTCTGACTAACCTCCACCGCCATCCCAACAACACAGTAAGATTCCCATTTTGAACTGAGATTTTTTTACTGTTATTCAGTTTGACAACACTTCAAATTGGATTCCTAAAGTAAAACTTTTTGGTTCTAAAACTCATGCATTGTAACATTAGATTTTCACAATAACTCTCACTCTTCAGGTCCTGCATACCTTTCTATGCAGTTCATCTTCCTGTCTTACAGCTGTACCCTCAGACACAATGCTGCCTCCTCCAAACAATCTCACATTAGATATAAGCGTAGCTTTCTTTTATTTGCTCTGATCCTAACACTGCCTCGGACATTGTTCCCCGAGGTCTGCCCAATCTTTCGTGCTCATCAATCGTATGAGTTCTTAACTAGTTTTCCTCATTCTATTCCTCTGCTGCTCCTCTATACAAACTCAATTACTACCTGCCTGTTTTGGTTACTGTCATTTACCAGCTCTACTTGATGCTGCAACAAATTCTCTGCATCCCCTTACAATGGTACCAAGCCCATATCTTCCATAAAATATAAAAAGAGAGAGAAAGCTCTTTGATGTTGTACAATTCTTTACTCTGGCATGTTTACATACATTTACAGTCTTGGCACAGTATATACAGAGAAACTTGTTCTCACTGGCAAATGAGTCAGAAACTAGGGGACATAGATTGCGGAAAATTTGCAAAAGATTCGGGGAGGGTAAGAGAAAACATGCTCAGTTTTTTTTGCACAGCAAGTTAGTATTACCTAGAATGCACTGCCTGCAAGATTGGTGGGAGCTGACCCAATTCAAACTTACAGAAGATTATCGGATGGGTATATAACAACTCAATTGAAACAGCGGGCAAACATCGACTGCACCTAGAGGACCATCAACTCAGTGAAAGGCACTGTTTGCTCTGCCTGAAACCTGCTGGTCTTCCAGAACAAGGAGTTGACCCCAACCGAGTGTTGCAGACTGGCACATCCCAATGTCCAGGATTACATGCTGAGGGACGCACTAAAGCTTGGCACAGCTGCCACTGAGGCACAGTGGAGAAAGACCAAAGTCTAAGGTCTTTCTGTCGAAGTCAGTTGGGGATCCATTCAGTTACTGGACCCTCCTAGTGCCTTGATGCACTATATAAAATATTATCTTGTATGTTTTAGAGATTCCTTTGGTTTGTTGGAATAGAGTCAAACTCAAATGTTTGTTTGTTTACTTCGTGTGCTACTGTCCAAAACTGAACTGCATTAGTGACAATGTATGTACAGGTATTTCTACTATAACGTGTGTTTTGTTACCACGAATTGGCTGTAGCACGATTGATGAGCAGTGGATGCTGTTTGGATAATGCAAACTTTCTACTGTACAGCATAGTGATTTCCTACAGAGATTTCCCCTTAAAGCAATTTTCCGCGGTGATTTTCTATTGTGCGAGGTCGCACAATAACACAACTATCGTGTTATAGGAGAACTACCTGTAGACAGAGATTTTTTTATGAATAAAGTATATTTTTGAAATTAAAAAAGAAGTGGATAAGTATAGGTAATTGAATAGCTCTTACTAAGAACATGCAAAGCCACAGGTCAGAGCTGCGTGCTGTAGGATTTAAATCTGGGTGAAAATCTGGGTTTAATATCTTATCTGGAAGATGAAGACCCGTCAAATATCACTGATAGATCAGAGATATATAGAGTCCCAAATAGATCATTTCTCATCTTTCTTTAAAAAGAAAATTTGTCATTTTAAGATATAATGAGAACTGAAAATTGTGTCCTTACCCAGACAGGATCTGCACACCGATTTCAGATGCCTCCTCTGACTGTGCGATTGAGTAGATGTGAGCAAATGTATCATCAAACCAGCGCTTCTGAAGTTCAACTGGTGTCTCTAATTTGAAAAGGATAGAAGACTTGTAAAAACAAGAATCGGTAAAAACTGAACCATTTTAAAATCACCAGATATCCATATCCATTAATGCACAGAAAGGTACCAAAATTTAACTATCACTGACATAAGCCTATCAAGGTGTTCACAAAAATATTTAAATTATACAAGTAGTCACGTTTTAATACAGAACTTGAGTTCTGCTAAAATAGAAATAGGCTGCTGCTGAAGTTTTTTAATTTAATTTGCACTCGTCAGGACCGAAGCAAGAATGTCACATTTCAAAGGGAACACTAACTTATATGGCATGAGAAAAAACGTGCAGATTGATTAGCAGGTGGACTTTGACTGGTCATAGCACTGACTTGGAAACTGCACCAAGGAACAGATATCCCTCAAGCTTTTGTTTAATTAAGAAGTTGCAATGCCGGGATAGTGGGAAGGAGGGCAGGGCCGATGGTGGCACAGTGGTGTTGACAAAGGGGGTACTAATGGCGGTGAAGGAGAGCATTCCCTTGGTCTTTTGCCATGGGCACCCCAACCATTTTGTCCATTTGCTCCTCCTCCCCCTCTGTCTACAGCTTAAAAGCCACTATTTTCCAGCTCCTTCCAGTTCTGAAGATGAGTTACATTGGACTTGAAACATTTATTCTGTTTTTCTCTCCACAGACAGCTCCTGACCTGAGTTTCTCCAGCATTTTTGGTTTTATTTCAGATTTCCAGCACCTGCACGATTTTGGTTTTAAGTATTCTTTCAATGAAGTCACTATTGTAATGTAGTCTTAAATGTGATTACCTCTGTCACATGGCTCATGCCATCTGTAGCTTGTCCTATTTTGCTGCTGAAATGCTCTTTCTTGCTTCTCTTATCTCCAGACTCGACTAATCCATTGCTGTCCTGGCTAGTTTCCTCACCTACCACCTAATTTCAGTTTTACCTAAACTTCTACTGTCCATATCCTAACTCACTTGTATGCTTGCTGACCACAACAGCTCTTAGTCCAGCAAGATCTCTCATTTTAATGACCCAATCCTGGCTTCTAATCTATCTGTGGTCATATTCTCCCAATCTCTGTAATTTTCTTTAGTTACAGAACACTCATAACTCTCAGTGCTTCAAGTGTTCTGGCCTTTTATAGGAATTAGAGTGCATACCCTTGCTGCACCCCTTTCCTCTTCGATATATTGCTGCCTGGAACCTAAGCTCTAGAATTCCTTCTCTAAACATCTCCGCCTCTCTTTCCTTCTTTGAGGTATGCTTTAAAATCTACCTCAGCACAAGTGGCTACCTACACTGTAGCTCACTAGTTCACTGAATATTAGAATCCCTGCAATGTGGGAGCGGGCTATTTGCCCCACAAAGCTTACACTGACCCTCCAAAGAGCATCCCACAGAGACCCACACGCCACTCTATCCCTGTACCCTGTATATGCCATGGCTAATCCATCTAACCTGCACATCCCTCGACACTACATGGCAATTTAGCATGACCAATCTACCTAACCTGCACAGCTTTGGTCTGTCGGAGGAAACTCATGCAGACACGGGGAGAACATGCAAACTCCACACAGATAGTCGCCCAAGGGTGGAACTGAACCTGGGAGTCCCTGGCTCTGTGAGGCAGTAGTGATAACTACTGAGCCACCATTGATTACACAGGATTGTGCTTTTTGAAGTACCTTGAGATGATTTTCATGTGCAAGGTGCTATTTGGTCCTTTTCACATTGTGGTTTCTGGGAGCTCACTGCGTACAAATTGGCTGCCACAAAAGTGACTATACTCCATACGTATCGCATTGCCTGCAAAGCACTTTCAGGAATGTGCTGGCCGCTATAGCAATGCAAGTTCTTAATGCCAAAACTGCAAATCGTTGCAAGGTCATTGCATGGTTTACTCCAGGAATGTAACACGTGGTCCCAATCTTGCTGCTGTTTCTTGCCTTTAAGTTAAATGTGGGGCATGTTAATTCGCTGCCGGCTCACCTCGAGAGAAGTGTGGGCTGAGAATTCCCGCAGCGACATCGCTAGTTGTGTAAGGGGAGAACTTTTCTGCTATCACAGTGACAGAGCAATCTGGAATAGACTCCGCTATGTGCACGGCGGTAGAGAGCCCCACCACACCGGCTCCAATCACAGCAACTTGCAACTTGTCCATGGTCTGAATGGAGAAAGATAGTTAGAAACAACATCCTTCATTAACCCCAACAGTGAGATTTCCAACCCAATAAACCAGCTACCATTTTGGAGCAATAAAACCTGTTGATAGAAGTAGTTTCTGCTATGTAAGATCAGAGCCCTGACCTTGCAGCGAAAATTGCCTGCCACTGGGTCAGTTACAGGGAGTTTTCTTAATTAATTCACAATATTTGGGTATTGCTGGCAACAGCAACATTTATTCACACATCCTAATTTCCCTTGAGAAACTAATGGTGGAGTGGAGAAGGGTGGTGGGGGGTGATGGATCGGTGTTGATGACTGTAGCAAGATGCTGAGCTAGAGAGGGACGCATTTGTTTTCCAATTCTATGCAACAAAAGGGGCCTGCCACCCAACACAGGCCTCCTCCACCTCCCCCCCCCCCCAAATCCCCAACCCGACCCAACACCTTCCCCACAATGTGCCATTGACCATGTGGCCACTTTTGGACCACCCACGGATGACGTCACATCTGCCGCCGCCGGGTACGCCACTGCCGGTACATCGACACCGCTGCTGATGCCGCTGCCTCCATTTCCGAGGCCAACACCACAGACATCAAAGACGCACCTGCTGATACCACTGCTGCCGCCGCAGCCAACATCCAGGACTTACCGACCGATTCCGCTCCGCCCACCGCATACCCCGCTCTGCCCACCGCCTACCCCGCTCCGCCCACCGCCAATGTCGCTCTGCCCACCACCTACCCCGCTCCGCCCACCGCCAACGTCGCTCCGCCCACCGCCAATGTCGCTCCGCCCACCACCTCCACAGCCAGCACCTCCAGAGGAGACAATAGCACCCAGCCCTGCCGAGTCTTCACCATCCCCCAGATCTCCCCCTTACTGAGGACGAACGGTCAGTCCTCAGTAAAGGGCTCACATTTATCCCCCTCCACCTAACATCAACGAATACCGCTCACGCTTGGACGTTGAACAGTTTTTCCGCCGCCTCCGCCTCTGCGCTTACATCTTTAATCGTGAACCTAACCCTCCCCCTACTGACCCCTACTCCCGCCTCCAACACACCTCCTCCTCCTGGGCACCACCCCAAGGCCTCCTACCCTCCCTCGACCTCTTCATCTCCAACTGCCGTCGCAACATCAATCGCTCCAACCTCTCCATCCCTCTCACCCACTCCAACCTCTCCCTCACAGAACGTGCCCTCCGCTCCCTCCGCTCCCATCCCAGCCTCACTATAAAACCCACGGACAAGGGAGGCGCAGTTGTAGTATGGCGCATTGACCTCTACATCGCCGAGGCCAGACGCCAGCTCTCTGACTCCTCCTACCGCCCCCTTGATCATGACCCCACCCCCGACCACCAAAACATCATCTCCCAAACCATCCACAACCTCATCACTTCAGGTGACCTCCCACCCACAGCCTCCAACCTCATCGTTCCCCAACCCCGCACTGCCCGCTTCTATCTCCTTCCCAAAATCCACAAACCTGACTGCCCTGGTCGACCCATTGTCTCCGCCTGCTCCTGCCCCACCGAACTCATCTCCACTTATCTCGACTCCACTTTCTCCCCCTTGGTCCATGAATTCCCTACCTACGTCCGTGACACCACCCACGCCCTCCACCTCCTCCAAAACCTCAGATTCCCTGGTCCCCAACACCTCATCTTTACCATGGACGTCCAGTCTCTATACACCTGCATTCCCCATGCAGATGGCCTAAAGGCCCTCCGCTTCTTCCTGTCCTGCAGGCCCGACCAGTCCCCCTCCACTGACATACTCATCCGCTTACCTGAACTTGTTCTCACCCTCAACAACTTCTTTTTCAATTCCTCCCACTTCCTACAGACAAAGGGGGTGGCCATGGGTACCCGCATGGGCCCAAGCTACGCCTGCCTCTTTGTAGGTTACATGGAACAATCCCTCTTCCGCACCTACACTGGCCCTAAACCCCATCTCTTCCTCCGTTACATCAATGACTGTATCGGCGCCACCTCATGCTCCCACGAGGAGCTCGAACAGTTCATCCACTTCACCAACACCTTCCACCCCAACCTTAAGTTCACCTGGACCATCTCTGATACCTCTCTCTCCTTCCTGGACCTCTCTGTTTCCATCTCTGGCAACCACCTGGAAACCGATATCCATTTCAAGCCCACCGACACCCACAGCTACCTAGAATACACCTCCTCCCACCCACCTTCCTGCAAAACTGCCATCCCCTATTCCCAATTCCTTCGCCTCCACCGCATCTGCTCCCAGGATGAGGCATTCCATTCCCAAACATCTCAGATGTCCTTGTTTTTCAAGGACCGCAACTTCCCCCCGCAGTGGTCGAGAATGCCCTCGACCGTGTCTCCTGCATTTCCCGCAACTCATCCCTCACACCCCCTCACCGCAATAACAACCAAAACAGAATCCCCCTCGTCCTCAAGTACCACCCCACCAACCTAAGGATCCAACACATCATCCTCCGACACTTCCGCCATCTGCAATCCGACCTCACCACCAAAGACACTTTTCCCTCCCCACCCTTATCTGCTTTCTG